AAAGAAACTTAAACACAGCTGTTCTTTCTCCCCTCATATTCCGACACAGAGGGTAGAAACAGCTAAATTAGACACTTAAAACACATTTACAGTTCATAACTCACCCTTGTTGTTGTAACATTCATCCTGTGTTGTCCACAAGCACTTTCCGCCCTGTTGTGGGTCCATTTCCTTGAAAAATAAAACTTAACCAGGCACTTTGAAGAAGCTCTGACGCTGGCAGTCCATGTAGATTAATCATGTGAGTTCACACACCCCAGAACCGAACATTTTGACTTCTGAACTTGCATATTCGGCATGACGCTATGAACTACAAATTCACACAGCGAGGAAAAAAATGGCGGACTATGAAATCCAGTTGGCTGGAAATATATTACCATAAATGGTAGTTCCGAAGAAAAAAGTGTGACGAAATAAGCAATGAAACGAAATAAGCAACGGCAGATTTTGAACAAACTGAAAAATCTGACCCATGAAATAATATAAAAATATCTTTGCAGTAACTGGACAGAATAAATTAAAGTTTTCTACACTCCCAGACACTATAATTGCACAAAAATAGTTTATAAATGCAAAAAAAGTGCATTTAGCATGATATGTCTCCTTTAAGATTGACTTCTGACCACCTGGTACCATCTTGGTGGCACCCCGTCACACAATAATTAGTGGAAGCTAATGCTATACAGCTAAACTAAAAAAATACAAAAGCTAACTCTAAGAGCTAACTGCTAAGACAACKGTCTCTCAGTCTGTCTCATCTCTTTGTCTCCTTCCAGCTGCAGGCTGGTGGGTCTGACGATGTTAGCTTGTTAGTTAGCTGTTAGCTGACTTAAAGTTGGAAAACCTCATTTAGTGGAAGGTGATTGGTTTGCTAACAGTGTTCAAAGTTTTTGCTGTTAGCTGATTAGTGGAAAAATGCCCACCACAGGTGCTATCCAAATACTACTGATCCACCCAAAAAAAAAAAAAAAAAACCCAGTCACCTTGTAAATGAAGGTCTGTAGAGACGTGAAGACCTGTTTGAGAGCCACCTCTGACTGRGAGATCTGCAGGAAACACAGGTGCACCTGGAAGACCTTCTTCATCAGGGGGTTGTGACCTAAATCTGCAGTCAGCTGGGTCTGGAGAACACAGAGAGGGGCTACTGGACTGCCAACCAGAAAGATCTCACACATTTCAGCAGATCGTATGTACAGGTTTTGTTACCACCTTAAAGCCCATGATAAAGGTGCTGAGTGTGTCCAGGACGGTCAGGCAGACCTCTGTGGAGACGTTGGCCTCAAGCAAACTCTGACTGTTTACGTCTGCTTCTGTGTGAGAGTACACTGACAACACAGACACAAAAACACTGTGAGAAAGAAAAATATAGCCTTAAGCTAACAACAAAGCTGTAGGGAATTATTGGAAATTACATTGTAATTACATGTCAGAGTCACTAGAGGTCAGCACAATATCATCTGTTGCTTGTTTAACAAATGATAAGTAGTTTTTGTGGTTTATTTATATTTAGCTTTTTATTGTTTAAAAAATGGTGAGCAATGGTGTTTATGCCTGGGTTTGTGTGTATATATGTGTCTGTTATCAATATATCTCATGAACCAGTGAACAATATTAGTTAAACTATCAGGAAGTAATTTTAGTCTACAACTGATTAATGTTTGGGGTCAACCCCATTCAAGATGGCCGCCACAGCCTTCGCAACTACAAAAAATGCTCTAACATACCTTTACAGATATAATGAGCTAAAACTTTGTGTGGTAGGATACTGTAAGCACCAGTTGTATTTGAAACTTTCCCACTAAATGTTTATTAGCAAAATATCTTGTAAAACACTAYATGGGTTTTACTGAAACATCCAGAAAACAATTTTTTTTATTTAATGAATTATCTTTTTCTACAAACATTAAAAAACCATTAGCAAACCAACTGGCTTCCACTAAATTAGGTTTTGACRACTTCAAGTCCACTAACAGCTAACTAGCTAACATCATCCGATTTGTGTCAGTCCACCAGTCTTCAGCTGGAAGAAGTCATTAGAAGTCATTAGGAGTCATTAGGAGTCATTAGGAGTCATTAGGAGTCATTAGGAGTCACGGCTTATAGACGTTTTCATCCAATTTTAATTAGAATTTTGAGCGAATTTTTAAAATTTTGCAAAAAGGGAAAAAAGAAAAAATGTGAATCAGACGTGTTTCCATCAACTGGCTTGAAGCGAATCAACCAGGCTACCCAAAGTGTAATTCCATCAGACGCATGTGTGTAGTAAACAGGAAGTAAAAGTTGCTAACTCACAGGGATACACACGTCAGGTTAATGCAGAGAAGTTATCAGGAACATGTTGCTACTATCAGGAAAGTTGTAATTATTCTGTCACATCAACTAGTTTTGGTGATGTTACTGCTGTCTGGAGACGTAGAGAAAGAAATGTGATTCTCTTTACGTTACAGGAATAACTGAGAAGACACTGACAGCAGGAGGAGGGTCCAGCTGCAGTGGCTCTGGTACCGGTACTGTTCAGACAGTGAGAACAGCTGATCAACATGTGAGGTAAATGTTCTCTACGTTAGAATTTATTGGGTAAATGTGTTTCCATCTCTCCTTTTACACATTTACTCTTTAAAAAAAAAAAAAAAAGCAAAGGCACCTTAAGCAAGCGTATAAACTTTTTTTTTTTTCAAATTAGAGGAAGTTGTTTCGAACCATGTCGTTTCCATTCACCTTTCCTGATGTGATACTTCAAAATGCGCATTAAAAACGTTGATGAAAACATGGCTACTGAAGTGTGACGCAAACTGAGTGACAGTCGACTTAGCGGTTAACTGTTAGTTTTAGCTTCCGCTAATTTTTACTTGTATAGTGTTACCAAAGTTGTTTTTGCWAGCAGATTCTGAGTTAGCAAAGCTATATTTTTTGTATAGCTGTGCCCACCACTGGAAATGAATAAAAACGACGCAGACTGAGTGGCAGCCATCTTAGCAGTTACAGATTACAGATTAGCGCAAAGGCTAACAGGCTAAGCTGAGGTTCTTCTTCCATGAAGCAGCTCTGTTGTCCTCCATCCACATTTTCAGTTCCAGGCTGAGTCATTTCTACCTTCTCCTCTCTGTCAACGCTCTCTGGTTTCATTTAAAAGAGTCGATCATCAGATATTGTCCAAGATACTGATGACCTATCCATGTCATCATTTACCCAGAATGCTTTGCATGTAAATAAAATAGCTCCGTCCGTGTTAAAATATATTTTTTAAATTTTACAAAACCAAACAACCTACAGTATTTTTACAGTCTTTATTTTACAGTTAAAATATATGTTTATTAAATAAAGTCTAATGTTTCAACTAATCATGGATTCCTTTAAAAAGATCTGTAAGACAAGATTTTAAAAACAAACCTGCCTCTCTGATGCTATATGGGTGCATTAGTGCCTCTGGTATTTAATTTGTTTTCTATATTTCGTTGCAATAGATATGGATTGATTAAATTTCCAAACATTACAACTTGTTTTAAGCTGTATAGTGACAATATATGAKAGAAAATATCTGAAGCTACAGCCCATGACGTCCAGGTCCAACATGCTCACTGATGACCAGGGCTGTGATCTGTGGTTGAGGGTGTTCTTGAGCTCCAGCAGATGAAACTTACTGTTAGTGATGGTGTGAGCGTTCTCCAGAGTTCCTAGTTGCTGCAGGCGAGCGTGGAGAAGCCCCGCCCTGTTACGAGACACGGGCAGAGTCAGAGACTTCCTGTCTGCAGCTACAGGTGCCCCGCCCTCCTGGCTCCTGTTGAGAGAGAGGGGAACAGGAAACACTTTAAACTGTTATGTCATTTTAACAAAGAAGAGASCAGCAGAGAGGTGTTTGAGTGGATTAAGAGTCATGCACGTCATCAAACTCTTACCAAAGCAGGAGGGCTTTAGGGCCACAGCCACAAATTAACTTGCCAGCAGTGTTTAAAAAATACAAGAACAACCAAACGCCGAGGGTTAAAAGATTCTGCGCAGGTGTGAGTGTTGTTATCAAAAAGATGAGAAAAATTCAGTTCAAGAGTTATTAAAAGAAATACGTGATCCAAACAGAGAAGACCGGGTCTACCTGGCGATGAATCTCTTCCCCATGTATCTGAACTGATAGAGGCAGATCCTGCAGAAACAAACCACAGGTCACCATGACGTCCAACAACATGCATTTTAGCTTCATTGGTAAGTGTCCCCAGGTGTGAGTGAGATGGTTGTATGTCTCTGTGTGTCCATGTGAGGGACTGAAGACCTGTCCAGGGTGTCCCCTGATGGACAATGTGACCTCTGAGTCCTCAGACGACAATAAATTAAAAACATGCCTGCTTCTGATCTGGACACCACTTCATGGACTCAAGAACTTTTCCATMACTCTTCATCTGTAAACACAGTTCACTTCATCCACTGATGGTTAAAGCTCTATCATGCAAAGAAAAAGCCATAAATACCATGAAGAAACACTGCCTTCTCTAGAATCAAAGCTCATTTAAAAGAAAGTAAAATAGAAAGCAATGCTAACCATTAGTTTCACAAATGCTAAGAAAATTACTGGAAGCTAACGCTAACTTAAAACCGCTAACTCATGATCTGTCATTTAAACATGGACGTATAAAGTAGGCCGATCCATAGAAYCTTGTTCAGCATTAGCTTTTGCTATTTATTTTGCTTGTCTAATAGTTTAGCGTTCGCAAAGCTATATTTTAACTGGTGGATTATTAATTAGCGAAGCTAAGTTTTTGTTAGCTGTGTCCACCACTGCTCATTAGAAATCCACAATGCGGTCTCTAAGCAACGCAAAACTCTTAGTGGTAGGCATGTTTCAGCTAATATGCTAACAGCTAACTAACAAGCCAATATCAACAGGTTTGTGTCAGTCCACCAGTCTGCAACTGGAAGGAGACGCAGACTGAGAGACAGCCATCTCTTAGAGTTAGCTTCTGCTAATTTTTACAAGTTTGGCAGTCTAGTGTTAAAGGTACATTTTTAGTTAGAAAAGCTAAACTTTTTGTTAACTTTGTCCACCGCTGTCTTATTCTTACCTCTTGTTAACTTGCATGCCAAAAATGTAATCAATTCATTAATTTATTTTATTTAACATTATTTAACCAGGCAAGTCCCGTTGAGATCTCAGATCTGTTTTTCAAGGGAGGCCTGAAGGCRACCTGTTGTGCATGTTTTTGAACAAGAATCTTGCACGTTTTGTTAGCACCCAGAGTACGTGCTGAGCATGACTCCCAGCTGCTATCACACAYAGCTCCTTATCTGTAAAGGTGACTGAGTTGTATCCAATAATGTACTGTTAGCATGTCAGTCTAGTTAGAATGAAACTTTTACCCAAATATGCTAATGACTACATCCTGTCAGTTACATTAATGTGTTTTAAGTTGTAGCTTCTTGCTGTAATGTTTTTTTTAAACAGCAGGAAGAAGGAACTGAATCAATTCAATGTGAATTTAWTGGGATTATTTTGTACTTACTCTATTAAGGTAAAGAAGTCCATTAAATCTGATGGTGCAGCTTTGTTCCAGTAAGCAAACAGAGCCTCTGAGGACGATGAAAGAAAAGAAGAAAACATCAGTGACCTGTTTGTGTCAAAGTAAAACCTCAGTGACTCCTTACCTTCAGACATGCTCTTGAGGAGGTGCAGGAAGCACATGAGCAGGTTCCGGATCTCGTCTCGGTCCAGCTTGTCGCAGCGCAGCACGGTGCTGCCCAGCGCCGACACGCACTGGTTCTGATCCGGAACAACAGGAAGAGGAAAACATCAWTAATCAGCAGGAATAAATCTGAGCTTTAAGGAGACGGAGCACGACACCGCAACACGCCAAAACCACAGGAAGGAGGAGACCAGAACCAGGACACTGCAGCCGTAGAGTACTCAGAGGTAGTATAGAAGTACACAAACAGAGTACTTGTATGGGAGTATTTTCTCCATGAGTTCGTTCTGCAGCTGCTCTGTTATTCTCGCCCTCCAGCTGCAGGTCAGGCAGCGGCACGGAGAGCAGAGAGAAGTCCACCGTGACCCGCTTCGCAGCCCGGCTCGCAGGCTCAACTCCCTCGTCCTGGTCGAGTAGGAGGGGCGGCACGTTGACCGAGTGCCTCCTGGTAAACCTCTCCTTACGCTGCGTGGTCGTGGAGCAGGGAGGAGGAGAGAGGGAGCTCTGGAGGGAGGAGGTTCAGGTGTCCGAGAGTTCAAATGAGTTTTTCTTCAAACTGTTTTTTTACTCTTTTTGATCATCTTTATTCTCTCTGATGCATTAAAACCAGGTCTGGTTCTGGTTCTGGTTCTGGTTCTGGACATCCTTTTATAGGTTCAGGAAGACTTCCTCACTTTTACTGTCTGTGAACACAGCTCACTGTACCCCCCACTAACATGGCTTAAAGCTCTATCAGGCAAAAAAAAACAAACATCTGTGAGCACCTTCCTGGGACAAAAATCATTGTCCTGTCAATTAAAGTACACAGATACTGTCAAAGTACACAGATACTGTCAAAGTACACAGGTACTGTCAAAGTACACAGGTAGTGTCAAAGTACACAGATACTGTCAATCAAAGTACACAGACACTGTCAATCAAAGTACACAGATACTGTCAAAGTACACAGATACTGTCAACCAAAGTACACAGATACTGTCAATCAAAGTACACAGATACTCAAGTAGTTAAATACCTTGGCACCCCATGTACCTATGTCCACAAGTACCTAGATACTGTCAATCAAAGTACACAGATACTCAAGTAGTTAAATACCTTGGCACCCCATGTACCTATGTCCACAAGTACCTAGACACTGGATTACCTATTTAGCCAAATACTCTTGTACGCATATCTACATGTCCAATTACCCAAGACTCAAATATGTTTGTACCCAAGTATCCAGGTACTTGTATTCAGATACTCTCAAGTAGCTAGGTAATTGAATACCTCAGGTACTGAAATAACTAGGAGACCCATGATCCAGATACTTGAATACCGTAGGTTTTAAATGACAAAACATACCTGTGCAGAGGTGTAAAGTAACTAAGTACATTTACTTCATTAAAGCTCTTTAGTAATTTTTAGAGCATTTGTAATTGTACAAAATATTTTTTAATTGTAGCTTTTATTTTTATTTTGTTATATTCAAAAGCTGTTTCTTTAAAATGTAACACCTAGTAACACGTTGTAAATTTAAATAAGACAGAACTCATCATGAAAAGAGTTGACTTCACTGAACCAAGTTATGTCAGCTGGTTCCACTAAACTGAGTTAAATATGTAAAACTATTGACTCAACTCAGTTTAGTGAAACCAGTTTGGTTCAGTAAATTCAACACTTCATTTCTTAGAGCGTGTGTTAAAAGTACTTTTACTTTTACTTTCCCGATTATTGTGAGTAGTTTTATGACTTTTACTGAAGTACAGTGAAATTCTGTTGAGGTATTTTTTTTTACTTAATTTCTTTAAGGTACTTCACATATTTCTGTATCCCTGTATCTAAATACCCAGTTACTACAAGCTCTTGGGACTATACCTATGTACTCAAATGCTTAGGTACTCAAGTTCTCAGCTACTGAAATACTTGCGTAGCCAAGTATCCAGTTACATAAAGCCCAACAGATTATACCCAAGGAGCCAGTCTCAACTACATGGTTATTAGTTTATTTGCAGCAGGAGCTCCTAATAAAATCCTCATGTGAAGTGAAACTCTACTGATGACGTAGATGTACACAATTCATGGTATAATATGAGATGATTCAGTAAATATGCAGATTAAACGATGACCCACCTTCTCCAGGGAGTTGGTCTTCTCGCTGCTCTTGTCCAGAAGGCTGTTGGCTGAGTCGGTGGAGGCCAGAGAGCCTCTGGAGTCTGCGTGATGAACCGAGCTGACGTTAGGGGTGGAGCTGTGGGGCGACGCTGATGAGGCCGAGCAGAGAAAAGTTCTATGAATCCACCAGTTTAACAAATTATTATACAATCAGGCTTTACTTAAAATGACTGATGGCACTTTATTAAATGGAGCTCTGACTAGACGTTATTTACCGGTAMTCAACATTAAATTCATCTATACAAAAGAGATTGTAAAATACTCTAGGCTGTTTAGTTTGTATAAATAAAAACTCATTTATACT